TATATATATATATATATATATATATATATATATATATATATATATATTACTTTTATGATTGCTATCTTAACATTTTTTTATTAAAATCATTATACAAACATAAATATACACTAACCTTTGGAATCTCCACTCCGGCCATCGTTAAATTTCGCTCACTTGTGCGATGCCGCCGATGCCGCAAATGAAGTTGGATTGATCTAACTTCAATGCGGCAACGTAGGAGTAGTTCAGAAGCCCCTAGATTCTAGTTCCTTCTGAACTGCCGCGCTGCCGCGCGCGGCATTTGCCGCGTCCATCAGTAGGCACCTTAATGCAGATACCGCGCGGGCGTGTACTATTGTTGGCGCGTACCGCCACAGAGTTCAACACGGACACTTTTCAATCCCTATCCTGGCATTCAATGGTATTCATTTTATTGTCAGAATATAGACGGAATTCAATGGAATTCAATACGGAAATTTTTAATTCCTAGTTTGGCGTTCAATGGTATTCATTTCGTTAACGGAATCAATGGTATTCAAAGGAATTCATCACGAAACTTTCCAATCCCTAACCTGGCATTCAGTGGTATAATATTTTTGTGTCGGAATTGGATGGGATTCAAAAAAGACAAATTCTTTCCAAAATAAGGAATTCCATGATATTGAAACTATTTCAATCCCTTTTTTGGACAGAATGGAATTCGGAAAGTCCTTAATTGAATTCCTGGCAATCTTGTTTTAATTTTTTTCAATCTTTTTTCGTTTGCTGGGCATTTTACTACATCGTGAAAGTCTAAAATATAAAAAAATATAGCCGTAATGAAACAAAATTCTTTACTAGTTATCAATATATCGTGAATATTAAAATCTTATCGTTTATTGGTCTGTTGATAAAAGCTAACCTAACATAACCTAAACTTAATGGCTCGTCTACAATAGCCGCAACAGTATAATGCAGTAAGACGTAAGCTGTTGACTAATGGGATTTTTACAATTCAAGAATAATCGACTGTGGTTGGTCAATAGCTTATACTACTCACGTTTTACTGCCATGCATACTTTTACGGCTATTGTAGACGAGCCATAATTGTAATGCAATTACCTATTTTTATATTGTTATATCGGAATTGCTTGAAAATGCATCTCATTGAAAGAAATTTCTATCACATTCTTTACACAATCAATTTCATGTTGACGTTCTTAAATGTATTAATGATGTGCAGTCTTTAGCAGAATTTGACAACAAGTTGAAAACTGACAAAGCTTACAGAAGTAAAGTGGTGAGTATTAACAAAAGAAATATATATACATATACATATATATATATATATATATATATATATATATATATCTGTGCGTGTGTGTGTGTGTGTATCTCATATATGGAATTTCTTATTCACAAAACAAAAAATATTATTAAAAATATTATAGAAGTAAAATTCTGCTACTTTGTGTTTAATTCCCTCATGTGTTTTAAAATATGTATAAGCATTTTATTCTAAATGCTAATTCGTGTGGTTTATTGTACAATTTACTGTGTAATTAATTACATATTTCTGATTTTTAATACTCTGTACATTTAACTAATATTGTTTTCACACTCTCCCTTTTTTCAGATTTTGCATCTATCTACAATAGGTGGAAAAAATTCCAAAAAAATCACGATGGCAATCATGGGAAGAATCATCCATTGCACTCTTACAACAAAATACAGTTGGAAAGGGGGGAAAGGCAAACGACAATTTTGTCTTTTTAAGGAGGTTCTACAGATAATGGATGTATCTAAAAATTGGAAAAAACTTTATGGACGTATAAATTAAGATGCGAAAAAAGTGCTCGAAAAATTTTAGCATCGGTTACCGTGTAAAAATTTGCAAAAATGAATTTTGAAATCACAGTTTTTAACATAAGCTACATATGGCAGAGGGGCTCTTGGAGACAGGAAACGAGATATTAATTATATAAAGGCAACCTACCAGAGATTCAAAAAACGGAGCTCTTATAGATCTTAATCTAAGTTTTTCAGAAATATCGAGAAAAACAAGGGTTATCGCGTAAAATTTTGTGATATTGGCTATTGAAACAGGCCATATCACAGTTCACGTAGCGTGCTTCGAATAACAAGGGAGATTTGGCAATGTCGCAGCGACTGCACCCGCGTGAAAAGTGTACAGCCAGTACAGCACCACAGTATGACAGCACCTCAAACTTAAGCACCTAACGTTTACGAGCGCTCACGGAGAAGTACTCGCTCTAGAATTATGTGAAATTGTGAAATAACCACGGTCATATGAGCAGAACTGTCAAGTTCGCGACGTTACCACATTTTCTTCCATTATAAGCCGCCAGAGTCAAAGGAGCACTTACACGATATTTTTAATTATTCCTCGCTTCGACTAATATGGATATGATATAAGCTCTAACGTCATCAAAATTCACGAAAATATTTTATGAATACTTAGAATCGATGAATTTGAAGATTTTCTCTTCATCTCTCAACTGACTAGAGAGTACCTGTAGAACTTCCTTAATGGATTGCTGACTGCCGTCATTTGTAAGCTTGCAAGTTATTTTATTATTTATAATTTTTACTTTGTGTCATTAAGAGCATCGTGATTACCAAATCTTATGTATACAGCTGTATGTTTTGTAAGGCAAACTTTTAAGATAGTGATAGCTCATCGTTTTTTCTTTTTTGATTATGTTTATTCTTATCTGTGTAGGTGCAACTAGGCATACTAAACATATAGATACAGTGGTTGCACCTGATGCTACTAAAGATGTTATTACAGGTATCAAAGAGTTTCTTCGTCAGTCAATTGGCCGAGCTAAAACATAAGTAACTTACTGTATTAATCTCGTTTTTTGTTTATGTTAATTCTAATTTCTTTTTATTCTTGACAGATGGGAAGCAAAGCAACAGAATGAAAGAAACCCAGATCTTCATGAACATGTCTGAAACGAAAGAAACCTCTATTTTGAATGAAAGTGGTGAACAAAGTGAAACTTCTTTAACTGATGTGGAAAATGACAGTAACAAGCATCTTCCCGATATTAATAATAAAAAACTAGTTCCTTATGTCAAAGATTCAGATGATTATTCATCATAGTAGCCTATAATGTCATTAAAAAAGAATTGACAAATGTAGTATTGCGTTTTATGCGATTATGAGAAGTAATATTTTTATTTTTCCTCACAGTAATACTACAGAATATAAAAAAGATTTTAGTTATATATAATGCATTGTAATATGCTTTGTACTATACAACATTATTAATTTTAATTTTGTTTTTTCATGTGACTAAAGTTTATTATCATATTATATAATATGCTGTGATATTAAAATGTATAAGAGATAGATATAATCATATATTTTTTTAAAATAAAAATTAATCCGCCAACAAAATAATTAAAACCAGGACTCTTTATTCAATCGACGTAATTGGCGAGAAACAATAATAACGCTTAATCACGACGTTTCGACCCGGGGGTTTTGGGTCCTTCTTAAGTGTCTTGTAACAAAAAATTTGGTAACGCCGGAATTAGTTAGAATTATAACAAAAATATAACGGAAACAATTAAATGTCCTACCTATAAACTGGCATGGAACCATAGCTCTCGCGTAAACATATCAGGAATACGATTTTTACCGAAAAAGTCATATGTCAAAAGCTATAAAAACCTCTCCATTAGTGGTAGTTAAAGAGTAAAATTAACAATTAAAAAGTATAGAGTGATGAGTAATTACATGTTCGGTATCGTAGAGCGTCTTGATGTGAATTTCATAACGTTAAGATGCGTAATGTATAAATTCGGAAATAGTTAAACGGAGCCACACCGCTGGAAGGTGACGAACGGTCGGGAGCGAGCAAGCAACTGACAAGATTAATAAATGTACATTGTTATAAGGTTAAAAGAGTAAATATAGCGGGTTTATATACAAGAGATGACTTTGTCATATATTGGATTTAGGTTTTTGGTATCTTTTTACAAGTTGATGGTATTCGCTTTTTACATAAAAAATCCGTTTAACTATTTCCGAATTTATACATTACGCATCTTAACGTTATCCCAGCAAACGCAAAAGGATTAAAAGATATTGAAATTTTTTAATACTTTTGAATCCCTTTTTTGGCGGAATTAGATAAAATTAGATGGGATTCGAAATGAGATGGTCCAATCCCATGGAATCCAAAAAAGAAAAATTTCAATTCCATCCAATCCTATGGAATCCGTAAAGGTTATGAAATTGCATTAGATGATTTAGAAAACCATGAAGTAAGAGTAAGGAGATCGAACTTCATAGCGCGCGAGTAGAAAAAGTGGTCCCGATTCGTGGCACCGAATTGAGAGGGAGTCCGCTGAAGGGAATGAATTCTTATCGATGGGCGCCATTTTCAACCTATAGTGCATGTAACATATACTGTAGGATTTTCAGCACACGTGATCTCGTAAACGCACCCTAACCTTACCCGGCGGCTCCGGTCTCTTACTTCGTGCTCCTTCGTGCTCAGTTTGTTTACCTGTGCATAAGAGTTTAAGAAGAAAATATATTAAGAAAATATCGTGAAATGGCGTGTTGGATAAATGGATGCACCACGAAAGGAGGAAAAAAAGAGACTTTCACAAAAAAAAAGTCTTTTTACAGCTCGCACGGAAAAAATGTTGCAATGTTGGCGTGACAATGGAATTGCTGCGAGAGGCATCAATTTTTTGAACAAAAAAAGTCGCATCTGTGAGTTGCATTTTGAGAAAGATGATATTCTCAGAGAAGATATTTTTCATGTGGCAGATGGTGCAACTATTAAGGTACAACGTAAAATACCGAAGTTGAAAGAAGATGCTGTTCCATCTATTTTTCCATCAAAGATTAGTTACTGTCGTTTAAATCCCATTAACGAGGAGAAACTGAAAGAACAGCAGAATGAAGAAACGAGCATTACGGGTCAGTTGAAGAGTACGGTTAATTGTTCCGTTTCCGTGCCAGCTGAATGTGAATCAGACAATCCTATCTTACATCACGAACAAGGTTGTTCAGTAAATGGAGATAACGAGTTGCAAACGTGGACTGAAATAAAGAAAAATCTGACAAGTCTTACTCTTACATCAGAATACTGGATGCCCGTGATCACAGAAGAGATGGTAATGTGGGCCTACTGGAAGGAAGATTTATCTTCCTGTACATGGCGTGCTATACTTGACAAAAATATGACACTTCATGTAAGTACCTATCATTGGGTATATTGTAAGATTATGAATACAAAGTCTTTCATGTCACTTCCTGTCACATTTGAAATGTAT